TAGATCATCCCTTTAACTTCAATATGGGATTTCAAAATCAGTCATAATCTCTTCACAGTTGTTTGCAGAAAGGAATTTGCATATATGCTGTCTTTTTTATCAATTATGCATTGTTAAATTGACACTTTTATGTGAATATCTGTCCAAATCTTCTGGGTGCTAACTTGCTTATGGCCCATCACATTCTCCAGATGAATCTGAGAGTTCTTTCTGTCTGAATTGGTTTTAGGGGACCTTAATGAAAAACGCTGTCCTCCTGAACTTCTATGATATGAGGTCTGAGGAGATAAACAGAATTTCAGGAGAGTTATAAAAACTTGTGGATGATGGCGATGATTTCACTATTATTAGTCCTTCAACTTCTTTATAAGAATCACACCAAATGCAAAAATATTATACATATAAAGAAATACATAATTAGAATGAAATAGTTATCTAAGATTAAAGTACCTTGTCAATGTTTATAAAAGTTAATCATTGAATGCCTCCTCAATTTTACATGAATACACTCCTAGGTCACGTGATGTCCCATTGAATGTGTGCAAATCTGTCAGAAAACTTTAAATTTTCATATTGTGCAGTCATTCCCACAACATTTTGCAGTATCAAATTATTCAATAAATAGATCTGTGAAATCTGTTGATGTTCTTATTCCCATCCCCAACTCCAACACCTAATAATCTACAACTCCAGGCAAATCTTTATATAATATTGTATCTATGCATTTGCTTATTCTGACAATTTCCCACAAATAGAATAACGGCTCTCTCTGAGAGTAATGAATTCAGTATTTATGCATTGTTGTGTATAACAAAATTCCTAAGGCAACTAGTATAAAATCATGTTTTATAACATATATCTTCTGTCTGAGTTGTTTGGTGTACTATGAATAATACTCACAAAATATTGGCGTGGTTTCTCCTTTTTATTATTATCATTAATTAATGTCCTGGTACAGGTTTTATGTTAGTATATCCTTTCATGTATGTTAGGTATATAACAAGGAGCTGAACTTCTTGGTCGACTATTAACTAATTCCATTGTTAAGAGTAGGGAATACATTAAACATATTTCAAGGCGAATGCATCATTTAAATTTACTCAACATTTTCCAAGGCTTCAATACCTTCTTTGTTTTTGTAGTTGATTTACGACTATACTCATGTATTGACATTCTCAAGGGCCAGCCTTAAAAACTCCCTCTCAGGGTCCAAAAGAGGTGCTCCAAAAAGTGGAGTAACTAAAGTCTGAGGGCTACAGAAAACAAATCTTCTCACCACATGTTCTTTCTGTTCATGTGTTCTTTATTGTACTGTTACCCAGTTCTGCACTTAACTGTTCTCTGTTGTTCTGCAGTGCTGCAAAGGTTTCCAGCTTATATACATTTACAATCATCAAGCCTCTGAGTTTAGCCAGGTGCAAGGCTAGAGTTTTTTTTTTAGATTTGTTTTTATTATTTTAATTTTAAATAGCTTGTTTTTACATGTGAATCCCAGTTCCCTCTCCCTCCACTCCTGCCCCACCATCCCCCCCATAGCCTCCCACCCTATTACCAATTCCTTCCACATAGGGGATATCTAGAGTCTGTCATTTCACTAAGGTAGTGTCCAGCCACTCCCCTAAGAGTCCAGACTGAGAGAGCATCCCTCTTTGTGTTATGGACACACGATGTCTGTTTGTATTCCAGGGATAAACACTGGGCTCCATAGGCTGCCCATGACTCCTCACTCTCATATTCGGAAGGTCTGGCTTCCCAGCTTTCGGTCTGGGGTCCAAGAGCTCTCCCCTGTTCAGATCAGCTGTCTCTGCTGGTTTTGCCAGCCTATTCTTTGCCAATTTGCTCCTCGCTCCTCTTTCTCTGTCACTGGGTTCCTTGGGTTCAGTTCAGTGTTTCTTAGCGTCGTAGAAATAGATAAAAATTTTATCCGAAGCAGTAACTGTCAGTCTTTCTCCAGGGCTGAGGGTGGGAGGTGTTTAAGTTTCCAATAAGTTCTTAAAGAAAAAGAATGTTAATAGCTAGGAGACGAAGTCATTAAGGAAATCAAAGACAGGAATAAGTGTGCTTTGCTATTTTCTTAAATGTGGCTGGATAATAAGTGAAAAGTTATAGTCAGTGAAAATCAGGAGCAAAGCAAGAATTTTATTTATTTATTATTTTTAAATCGGTACGCTCCTTTTCCCCAGTGGGTGGAGGGAATATTGGGTAACTAGGTAACCTATGTAAACAAACAAGGAGAAGCAAGCAGCATTTGGTTCCAGTATGTATTTCCTCCAATCGTTAGCTTGCTAAAGGGAATTTTGGCTTGAAGAATTACTTTCTATACTATCTTTAAGGGTAAAATACAAGCAGTAAATGCCTTGCTTCAATAGACCCAGGTAAGAATAAGTAAAAAGTGTTAAGGCTTTTCCTTCAGGTTAATTTGAGGTTAGCTTAGGACAGCACTTTCTTATCTACTGGCAGGGTGAATCCAGGACACTCCTGTTCTCTATCTCTCTCACAGCTATGGCTCAACAACTTCAGACATGCCTTAATTCTTGTACTTGGGCTACTTGGGCATCTGTGAATGTTTCAATTGAGGTCACTTTGCCTGGACTCTAACACTGCCCAAGTGTCTGCCAAAAAAAGGTAACTGTTGGAGGGCAGAATCCCAATTTTATACAACCAGCTGGTTGAGAGAGTAAGGCCTTGACTGTGATTACTTTCTTGTTACAATCACACACTGCTGACAGGGATCATCCAATACACACCAATGCATAGGAGAAATTGTGCCCAGGAAACCATTAACACACTAGTGCTGTGGGGTGGAATGCCCAAGCTGTAATGTGAGAGAACGAGCTCTTCACACAAACTGAGGACAGCTGACACATTCAGAAGGCAGTGTTCTGTGACATCTTGCAGATAAAGTAAATGACATGTCTATCTCCAGTGACAATATTCTTTTTCGCCTTGCTACATAAGGTCTGTACTCTGTGAGACATGCATTTCTCATGGGTTGACCTATGAAGTGTGCGCTGAATTCTGTGGTCATGTAGCACTATTGCAATTCTATTTCCTGGTGTTGCTGTACATGTACTTAGTAAACAATGACGCTGACCTCAATACTTACTCTACATTTATATATTCAGAATTCCTCATTCAGAAGATTTAAACTAAGTTTTGTTCTTTGTCATAGTTCTAAATTTATTCACCTTTGAGGAACTCTCAGGGCTCTTTTTGTAATGAATTACATTTCCTCATTTTAGAATATTCCAACATGCATTTTTTTCACATTATGGGCTGTTTTCACATTGTCTTTTTTACTTTTTTCATGAAAACAATTATATTTTCATTACTTTGTTGGTTATTTTTAACTATTTTTCAACTACTATTTTCTCAGATTTCAAAATAAATTTTATTACAAAAATCTCAAAAAAGTTAAAATTCATCAAAATTAAAGAGTTCCAAAGGCTATAGTTTTCAGTGAACTTAAATACAGTTTCAATATCCATTCTGAAACTGTGGACATTCACACTGGATTTTATATTTTCACTTTCTTGGTTTTTAATTTGTTTCAAATCCAAGCTACACGTTATAATTTTTTACGTCTCTTAGATGCCTTATTTGAGGAACCATCCTCTAACACAAAAACAGCATGTTAAGGTATTGTTTTCTGCAAAATTTTTCACACTTTAAACACACACACATTTAAATATAGCTTTCATGTTGAGTTAAGCTTTGTGTATCCATTATTCTAAATATATGCATCATTATACCCTCAGATAAACATAAGGTTCTTATCCACGAACCTTCTTTGTGTAGCTGAGGCCATTATAAAAAGCTACAACGGGTCAAAATGCAGAGAAAAAGAAAACTGATCGTGCAAAAGCCCAAGCCCAGTTAATAGATCTGTAACACAACTCCTGTACCAAACACTCAGAAGTTGTGTCAGAAAAACTAGAATAGCCAAAGGGTGAGAAGCTATGGATTGATATTGAGCATTATGACTATGATGAGGATGCTACACTTATGAAATAACAAAAAGAAGGGGCCCAAAATAAGATCTGAACAACTTAAACACACTGGACAACCAATGTAGGTGGACATTTTACTGGCTTCATTGCAAGATGAGCCCTTGCTTGGTTACCTAGTACCCAGTGATTAGAGGTTGATATATGTATATGTGAACAACAATGAACTTATGCAGCTTATTGTTTTTATATGGCTGATGTGTTTAGATGTATATGTAACAACAATGGGAAAAGAAGGGGAGGCTTGAATTTGGAAGGAAGAGGAGCTGAGACATGGGAAATCTAACCAGGAAGAGATTGAGAGTGAATTTATTATATAATTATATATATAATTTATATAAAATATAGTACATTTTAGTATCATTTTCTTCCCCACCACTAGCACTTATTTTATTTATAGAGTTGCTCTGTGATTTTTGATAGTGAAATCATTGTGACTGTGATTAAAAATTTCTGTATTTACCAATGTGGCTTAGCTTTATGACATAGTCTGAGGCCTCACCAAGTATTGTGATTTGATTTATAGAATATGAATCCCAGTTTTTCTGCCTTGTATGAATGGGTTGTTATTCTGGATTCAGACTGACATTTTTATTTTAATGCCATTATTAAATAATCATATATTGTTTAGTAGGAGTCTATATTTTGACCTTGACAACCCAAGGCATCTATGATTAAACTTAAACTCTTAACCTATATACCGCTCTTATGGGTCCATCTAAAATCTTTCTGCTCTCACTTTCATATTTTGTTGGCTTATAATTATAATCATTTCAATTGTCTATATTTTTCAGCTTTGCTGTACTAAGCAATTTAATGTATAGGATAAAACAATGTTCCCAAACAATATTATAGCTACATTGTTTTCCTGGTTTATAGGAAATATATGTCAGTCAATACACTGAAATAATCTTGTGTTAATCTCTGTTAAATACAACATCATTTACTTTCACTATTTACAAAAAAATATGCCTTTTAAAAGTTTTACATCTTGTGCTCGCTTCAGCAGGACATGAACTAAAATTGGAATGATACAGAGAAGATTAGCATGGCCCCTGCATAAGGAGGATGTGCAAATTCGTGAAGCGCTCCATTAAAAAATAGTTTTACATCTTACAGTAGACTTTATTTTTATAAACTTCTGTCTTTTTCAACTCATGACTTCTGAATATTAACACATTTTTTGTTTACTATTTAGCTTCACATTCCTCCTTCAGATAACACATTTCTTCTCTGTTCTTAACTTCAACTTCAGGCTGACAGACAAAAGTGTAAGTGCAGATTTCTCTTCAGTGACATTCAAAATATCTCTATTTGAAATATAGTGTGCACAACCCAACAGAACCAGTGTCTCTCCTCTTCATAATTTCCTTCTCCTCATCACTCCCAGTTGAAGTGAAACCTTGTGAATTGTATGTCATAATATTTCAAATGTCCTCTTTCAGTGTCTATCTCTTTCTCCTTGTCTCTGTCTTTTTCTCTCTTTCCCTCCCTCCCCCCTCTTTGCTTCCCTCCCTCCCTCCCTCCTTCCCTCCCTCCCTCCCTCCCTCCCTCTCTCTCTCTGTCTCTGTCTCTCTCTCTCTCTCTCTCTCTCTGTGTGTGTGTGTGTGTGTGTGTGTGTATGTGTGTGTATGCTGTGGTTTTTTTCCTCACCCATCCTCAGTCATGAGATTATTATACTGATCTCACTTATGTTGATTTTAGATGTTTCATTATTTCTTTTCTTCTCCTGTGGCTTCTTCTCTTCTTTCTTCAGTGTTTTTCTTTCTTTGCATATTTTTTGGCAAAGTTAAGGTTTTTGCTCTGTTGTCCTCCAGTCACTGATTGCCTGGGCTCAAGGAGTCCTTGTGTCTTAGACTTTTAGTAATAGAGATTTAAAAGAGAGAATACAATGACAGGATTATTACTTCCTTTTTATGATAAACCATGTCTAATGTCAAAAGAATATTTTATATGAATAATTACTTCCATTTCTTAAAATCTTTGATTATTAATTGGTTAGCATGCTATTATATGCTTAATTCCCCCAGGGTTTTTTTGTTTTTTTGTTTGTTTTGTTTTGTTTTTTGTTTTTTTTTTGTTTGTGTTTTTGTTTGTTTGTTGGTCTAGGCGGGATTTTTCTGTGACTTTGGAGGTCATCCCGGAGCTAGCTCTTTAACTCACAGAGATCCTCCTGTCTCTGCCTCCTGAGTGCTGGGATTAAAGGCATGTGGCTTAATTCACCCATTTTTTTGGTGGGATTCTTTACTACTGATTTTCAATATAGACATTAATGGTTCCTTCTGGAACATAACAAATATTCTCCCTTTCTTATTATCCACATATCCTCCATTGATTATGATTTATTTTTCTCCATCAGTGATTATTTATTTGTATTTGGTTATTTTGTACTCACATTTCTTTTGGCTTTCCTGCTGTCTTTTGAAGAAAGGCCTTTGAAAACAACACAAAAGCAAATAGTTTCCCTCTGTTTCCCTCCATAATCCTTTACTTTATATTTTACGTATATTTACGCATTTGTGGCTTTGGTTTGCTTTGGTTTCACAAGTTGTGATTCTTACATATTCTACTCAGATACTTGTGCATTTGTGTTTGTTCCTGGGGAAATCTGACACATGTCTGGTGTTTGGAATGCTGCTCTGTGCATTCTTGGAGCTCTGGAGAAGGTCTGTTTACAGTTAGGTATTTTTACAGGCATTTTTGGACTTTCCTAATTAGTGAATTCTTTTCCACATTTAAAGTATATACTGCAACAACACTAATTATTTCTTACTTCTCATGTCTCTGAAAAAGTCATTTATGGTTTCTGTAATTTGTAAAGAAGTTTAAAATGCTTTCAATTAGTATGTACTATATAATAAAATAGGATATAAAATGGATAATAGCTTTTATGAAAAATCATGGACTTTTATTCTTTTATGTATGTAAGTATTGTGTTCTGCTTTATTTTGTGTACTTTTATTGAACCTTAAGAAGGGAGCACCTAGCTGAGATGGAGTATAGTTTTTCCATGCAATTTTCTTTCTTTCTTTCTTTCTTTCTTTCTTTCTTTCTTTCTTTCTTTCTTTCTTTCTTGTTTTGCTATTGAGAATTTGTACATACTTTAGGGCAAGGATCATTTATTTTGCTAGAATCCTATTTCAATGTACACAAAAGAGGTCCAGAGTTATTTTACCAGTTGATCCATAATACTTAAATTTTATAATGAATAAGGTTCCTCTAAATTAACCACAGAAGTCAGGAAAGTGAAAAAAAGGACTACATAGGGACATGGGGATAGGGTGACAGGGATAATACAGAGGTCGTTAGTAAGACAGAAGTGATATGAGAGGAAGGGGGAAAAGGTCAAAGGTATTTAAGTGAGCATCGGGAAGGGAGGGTTACACTGGGGAAAGAGAAGTCATTTATAACTAATGATGTTTGAAAAAGTCATAGAGAAAATATTTTACAAATGTAATAAAAATTGCTATATATGTATATATGAATTATAGTGCATGAGGTTATAATGCATCCTCTAAGAGGCATAGGCTAGCAACAACAAGAAAATTCCATATTTCCAGGCATGGGAAATCTACTTGTGTGTTGTTGGTCAAAGGAGTCCTAGAGAATCCCAAATCAATATATGCTACAGCCACTTTCAGCTGTTTCCTCCCAGAACTTGAATGTAATATTCTATTCTTTAAGATACCAGGATCTTCATACTCAGAAATAAGCAATCATTCTGGAATACTTGTCTTTGATGGCTGGCATTCATAGTATCAGAAGTTACGATGCAAGCTACTAAAGGAGCGATCAATAGCCCCACATAGATGTAAAGTTATGAAATTCAACACTGCCCAACATGGCAAAAAGATATCTTCAATTGTATTAAAATAATTATTGTCTTGTAAGTAACAAACACATGTCTTATTGGACTTGAGACAGTATACTAGAGAAAATTCTTGCCTGAAATTTCAAACCCAGTCAACAAAACGTGCCTGGAGAGGTCAGGGATCCTAAAATACAATCTACTACTGTCATTTCCCCAAACAGTATACTTTAAAATTTTACTATAGGTACTTATCCTTATAGCAACAGATAAGTGTAGTTCTCACCAATCTTCGTATAAACTTCTTTTTAGAGCAGATGGTGACTTTTGCAAAGATCTACACCTGGTCAAAGTAGACAGAATAACTGATTGCTGTGTGCCTTGACTCTTTTAGTACATCTACAACTCCTATCTTTACCTTAAGGCAATGAGTATACTGCTGAAGATGGGAAAAATATTGTAAGGACAAAAGAAATTAAAATCTATTGCTAGAACATATCTTGTAGACCTAATGGGTGCAACACCCACAAAATATTGACAATATGACATGAAATATCAACAATATTCTTATCTAAAAATGATTTAAATCACCAGTCCACATGACAACCAAAATAGGGAAAATTTCTCATGGCTCCACTGCAGATGAACAACTCAGTGGCTACTGAGAGAAGGACAATCAATCTTTTCCAGAGATGAAGCCCCTACTAAGCTATTAGTCATGATTCTATAAAAATAGATATTAAACTCTAACACATATACAAGTGCATATGGTCAGGACACTGAGGAGTAGTTGGGGTTCACAGAATGATGGAAATGAACATGTAACTAAACTGTGATATTCTTATGTGTGGCTGTGATTTCTAAGAGAAAGAGTAAAAACTTTCAGTCCCCCTTGGGATTATTTTTCTTAAAACACATAGAAACATACACTATATTTTACTGTCCTTGATAAAGTTAGTAAATGATTTTCAAATAAAAAATGAGAATTATCTCATCTAAAAATTCAGTGGTTATACATCTTTTTCTTCTAATCATTTTTTCACGTTTTCCTTGTTACTAAAATGGTCAATGATGTCAAATATAAAACCATTTTCAACTTAAGAAATTATGGGTATTTTTAGTAAACAATAAAAGTAATTGCGAATCCAACATACTATACTATACTATAGGTTTAGGTAAACTGAAACACACAATAAATATTGATTTCTTTAGAATAAATAATTTATATATTTAGAAATGCAAGCACATGTAAATGTTACCTTTGTGTTTCGTGACATATTCTACACGATGAACTCGTGAGTTGAGTACCAGGTTAAAGATGAGGAATTATAATAAACAGAGGAGACAGCATGAAAAGAAAGGAAAAGGGAGGCTAAGAGTCTCAGGAGTTGCCGAGCTTGCCAGCTGTCATTTTCAGTGCTGTCTTTGAATACTCTATCATTTCTTTGGTTTTCTTTGTTTTAAAGATGTCATGTGCCATGAGCTGCAGCTTTGCTCTGGTTTTACTGCCTGTCATAGTCACAGTTGACAAAGCCAGTCTTTTTTCCTGTCAGTCTGAGTCCAACAATACTGCTGATTTCCTCCAACAGTGTAGAAAATTTATTGCAAAGCAAGGTGCACTTTATGCTTACAGCTATTGCAGCAATGCTGGTAATAACACTGACATCACCCCAAGCAACTGCTATCTGTGACAGAGGAGACCAGACTTCTGAAGCACCATATACTGCATTTGGGAATATCTTCTACTGAAGATAGTAATGTTTTGAAATCTTTCTTTAGAAAAAAATATTACAAAATGTTTATAATATAGCTATGATTATTTTAACACTGAATTATGCTAATATATATGTAAACATAATTTCTTGTTTATGTTTTATTTTTGAAACAAAAGCATATGTAGAGTTTTTGCAAGGTATAAAGTTTACATTGAAGAATGGAAAAATTTGAATTTGTAAGTTTCTTCTAAATCAAAAATGGGGAGCAAGAACATATGCACTGTCCTTGTTTTCAAATCACATCAAGAAAAAGCACATATACACACACACATACATACACACACACACACACACACACACACACACACACACAAGCACACCCATGAATAACTGGTTATTATCTCTGTCCATGTTCCTCATACATTAAATTGAACAAAAAATTGTTCCCAATCTCATTCTTAGACATGGAAACTCCATCACTTGTAAGAAGAAGTAGATACCTTGTCCTTTCCTCTATCTATTGTTATTTCACATATGACTTCCATCTTTAACTGCTGATTTGCTCATCCCCTATTCA